ATACCAGTGATAAGTGCAACGATTCCATCTGAAAGTGAGTGTTTTTCATGCTCACTTTATGCATTTTCATTGCAAGATTTTTAATACTTTCCACTCTCCATCTTGATACAAAAAAAAGGATGAGGGAATCTTCCAAAGAAAGGAAGGAAGTAATCAATTTGAAAATAAGTAACTCTATACAATTTTTTTTCTGAAAAATTGACATTTACTCGGGTTGAGTTTTAAATTTACCTTTCGCAACCTGTGCAAAACTTTCGTTAAATTTTTGTTGTGATCCATCAAACTATTTCCCAGAATAATAATATGGTCTTAGTAAACAAAACAATATTCAAAATTTAAACCTGTCATAGCCATTGTTAAAGCCCTTGAGAAAACAGTTACTTTCGCACCCATTGGCAATCTAGTCAATTGATATTGCCCTGTATTCGTGATGAAAGCTGTATACTCTCTAGAAACTGGGTCGAGTTCAATTTGGTAATACCCTTGTGATAGGTCAAGATGGGAAAAATAAATTGCACCGGGAAGTGAATCTAAAATCTCATTAATATTGGCAATAGAAAATTTTTCGTCTTTCAGACATTTATTCAGTAATCTATAGTCAACAACAACTCCCCAATTGCGTTCACCATTTTCTTCCGATTTTTTGGGTACTATTAATAGTGATGATGACCATGTAGATCTAGCGGGTTGTATTATTTTATCGTTCAACATTTTTTCAATCCGTTTCTCAATTTCTAGTTTTTGTGATTGAAGTATGTATGGTTTTGTGTACACGTGGATTATGTTTTCTTTGAGTCGAATTGAATGTTTATGAATGTTAGTTACTGAAAGTATATCATTGGGTAAATGGAAAACGTCCGCGAATTTCGCACAGATATGGTCGAGTGCTCGTTTTTCCTCTCCATTCAGTCCGTCTTTACAAATTGATTTTAAAACTTCTTCCACTCGTTGAACGGATGAAACATTCATGTCGTTGTAAGAAATAATTTCGAACAATTTAGCGTCAGCAATTTTCGGTGAAAAATTCTTAATTTCTACTGGTTCTTCTCGCGTGTTCAGAATTTTTACTGGAATTTCATTTCCGTCTACCGGTTTTGAAATAGATCCGGCAACAAAGACACCACTGGCTATTTCTTGTGGAAATACTATGCATTCAAAATTTTTGTTTATCTTGAAGTACTTGATTATTTCACAGCGCGGGGGAATACTAGTATTTTTATTGAAGTTGGACTCTATTGGAATTGTAAATTTATTCCCATGAACTGTGAAAGAAAATTCAAAATATGTTCTTATAAGACAAGCTTAGGTATGTTAAACTCTTGCCATACTTTTAGGTTTATGGACACTCTCTTGGTTTCTCAGTATTTTTCTTTTCATTTTTGCAATGATTTTCATAGCACGGTCAGTCTTTTGACTTTGTAGATCTTTCATCCGATGTTTTCTGATTCCACAGCAATCACCCCTGTAAATGATAGTTCGGTAGGACTAGCCATTTCGCAATGTTTGATGATAACAGGTTGGTTGCAATTTGGAATTCGACAACTGGGAGACGTAATTCAACAACTGACAAGTGTAGAGAGAATTCTTCAGTATACCAAATTAGATACGGAAGGGCCATTTGAAACACCGGGAGGTGAGTTATAGCTAATTATAACTATGTTGATTTTCTTTTTTCATTCAGTTAGTGGATTCAGAACATAACATCCCCATACATATTGGAGGGCCTAACGGCAAGAGATTCAAAGGGTAAATCGATATCAAATAGAAATGTTCTGTAACGATAAAGTAAATGCCGAAAATGTCAGCCAACATCCCTACAATGATACATATTTAATATCGAATTTTAAAAATTCTGTTTCCTTTTACATCATTCTCACCTGGTTTTTTATGTTTGAACTCATTATAACTTATAAACTGGTTGAAATACAATGAAAAGGACTAATTGATTCTCTATCGATCAAAGAACAAATTCAGCCCAAATTCAAATTCTTACTCAATTATTTATTCCATTTATAATATTTGTTTATGAAAAACATTTCAAGATTTTCATTTCAGCTCATCAATTTTACTTCAAATATATCATTTTATGATTTATGAATAAACATGAGTTAAGTAGAAAAAAATTCCTTGAGTTTATCAGCCTAAGCATCTCACAAACAAAATTGAACTAGAAATTTGAGTTTATTTTGATTTTTATGTTAATATTTGTTTACATTGATGAAATATTTCATTCCATTTCAGATTACTGCCTTTTCTGAGAACTTTTCTCAGATGGTGGCTCATAATCTTCAGTATTAACTTGCGATTCTTTCACAAGCTCTGTAACGAACAGTAGATACTTAGCTGTAGCAGTATCGTTTTCATTCCTACGGTGGAATTTGTCACCTTTTTACGATTTCCACAAATATCTCCTTTGCGATGTTTGTGAAGAGAAAAACAAGGAAATCCGGCATTTCGGCATCCACATTTTATGGAACAATTTTTAATGCAATCGCAGTGTTTTGATCGGCAAATACATATATTCCGTCTTTAACCAGCTTCAACCTTCCAGATTCAGCTCATTACTGAGCCAATATTGCACTTGGTAATACACTCTGAAGAAATGGAAACTCTCATAGATTCCATAAAGTTGTTTTGGAGAAGCATGTGGCTTCCACATTATCATGTTCAAGTGATTGGGTTTCAATGCAATCAATAGTGTAGGCAGATCAGATCAATGTCGGTTACAACCACAACAATTTCCTCATCAGGATTTCTCTCAATAAGATTTATGGCCGTTTGAATCTGCATCTTCTTTCGCTTGTTTTATTGTTAAGTATGTTTCGGCAACAAGAATACTTTTCAATTCAGTTATGAAACTAGATTCGTTTTTGATATGTCATTATTTCTGTCGCATAAGCATAAGGCATACTTTCGAGAATTCTTGTTACACTTGATATCATACAGCGATCATGCGATAATCATTAAGCTCCAGTGTGGATAGTACCTACGCATCAGCATCTGTCCAATTGTCACGTCCGTCCATTTTCCTGTCCAAGCTTTATTAGTTCTACGAACGGTGAAGTGTCCCCCATCGATGAATAATGTAAAATCAATTCGATCCATGCTGTCTTCCAATGTACTCTTAGCCTCAATATATTGCATAGCTAACGAGATGAAGTTAAAATATTTATTATCAACATAATCAAAACAAATCCAAAAAATTTAAACTACAATAATTTTTACACTCAATCACAACACAACAAAGTTTTTGTTTCGGGGTTGAAATTAGATGATTTTAATGTATTTCCACGTGTTAAAACCGAAAGTGACCATAAAAATCATATATTAGCTCTTGTTTTCAAGATATAGTATCATTATATTATATATATGTATATTGAGTTTTCAACAAATGAAATATTTCATCACCAACAGTTGGTACACATGTTTGTTTACATAACACCCCTCTCATCAGCTGTTCTTAAGTAGTAAACATAACCTATGTGAGTTTGTCAATTGTACGCACGTGGTTGCTATTGAAATTATCGTGTGAAGTTGATTTTTAAATTAATTTAAGTGCTGATCTGAAATGCCTCGAAAGTGTGTGAATTCTGTCGATAGCTTTTGCTATATATGTGGTGAAATAACATTTAAGGCTCAGAAACGTAAAATGACACCTATCGTTAAGACAGCCTATGAACATTATTTTGGTGTGAAAGTTGGGGACCAAGATAAATCATGGGC